TCTACTGCAGCTGAAATCATCTTTAATCAGCACTATTTTCTTACGAACCTCCCAATAAGTGTCCAGCAATGTCTAGTACTCGGCGCATTTTCCCTCAAGCAAGGATCTCAACCGATAGCAACATCAAAAGTAATCGATAACCGACATGATAGGCTCCACACTGTGAGCTCCTGCAGGAAGACAGTAAGAAATCCCTCCGGCGTCGTTGGCCTGACACCTCGTCTCTCCCCATCTAACCTATATGGGCTTCCGTGGTAACAAAATCCTACATAGAGGCAGTGTATCAAGCCGGTACTTAGCTATACTAGCCCACATCTACCTCTGGTTTGCGGGGATCATATTCTCATTGACAAATGATTGGTCGATCATGCGTCGGCTTACTGTATATCTCTTGCATGAGTCGCTCTGTCTACGCTTCGAGCAAAAGTAATTATAAAACTGGTTGCTCAACACCTTCAAGACTCCTTGCGGGGCTTGAACTGAGCTTGAGGAGGACAGAGGTGTGGGATGTCATCCAATACCCTAGTCTAACCAGCAACGCTATTGACTGATTCGATTTGGAGCATCCATCGCAGAGAGAGTCTGTTACGGAGGAGACAACCCTGTAGTCTTTTGATACACAGGAGGGAGTCGTCCTGTAAGTCCAGGTTGACTGTGGTCGTGATCTTAGAGACCGCCAGCTCACGTGTCTTTGCAGGTATCTGATCAGCAGCCATTTTCACGGCAAGTAAGGAGTACGACTCTTAAGGTAGCTTCGTCAGAAGAGCGGTCGGTGATCGCGAGCCCGTTCACATCACCGGTGTGCGAATTGACAAAGCTCTTGCTTGCCTACTGCATAGGATATTATGTGGAAAAGACCGACGGGCATCAAATCGGAGACGACATCTGTTCCATTGATTCGAAGCCGTCTATCCCTCAAAACTCTCGGGTAGTGGCGGCTTCAAAGCTCTAGCACTCCGTCTTCCAGCGGAAAAGAATCGAGATATTAGCAGTTTGGATCATAGTTATTGATCTGACTGATCGTAGCACAAATGGTCAACATTTGACATCACTCCCTGTCCCCATACAGCCATTAACGATAGTGGGAAGCAAGACTGACTGATGCTGCAGATGCCGGTTGGATGCATGTCAATGTCGTCCTACCTTCTTGTGCCTCCTCGAAATGGGAAACGCGAAAGTCAGATGCATGTTCAGAAGGTAGTCGTACGAAACGAACACCCTGTAGTCAGCAACTTTTTCGAACAATCAATGTATGGATTGTTGTTGCTCTTGCCTACCTCGAGTTACATCTGCCTGATCCCGTCAAATCCAAGATCCCTTTCAGCGATGCTTCTAATCCGTATGAGATGAGACTTTGTTCACCTGTAGGGCATTCGGTTCTATCATCTTAAATAAGTAGTCGCCAGAAAGACAGATGGGCCACATCACGATGCGGAAAAGGCAAGGCGCAATTCCGTACACCTCTCTCGTAAACCGCCAGTAAAAATCGTGGCTCGTGAGCTGTCCCAGCAGTAAGGGCATAGGTGAGGCTGGGAACCTGCGACACCTTGTGTACCAAAGCCGCAGACGATCTATGATCCCCAACCAAGCGAAGAGCACGTACGGAAAGGAATGAATGATGTCTGGTATGCTGTCACTTGCCATCCCAAGGTTGCCGATCAACCCTTCGATATACAATCAGAAATCAAAACGGGTTGGGGTTATGTAGGAAGGCACGGCAAGCAAAACAAGGAAGTACACACCTATCACGCCAATAGTACGTAGTACCAATCTGGAGTTGTCAATTGTCGACAGTGGTGGTATTGAACCTAGCAAAGCAAGGTATCTATCCATGGAGTAGCCAAAATAGCTCCCCCTACTGATGAGTGGCCCTGAAACTCCTCCAGCCAGGTATGACGATTGTGGTTGGTGGCCGCCATAGGCTGTCATGCTTTCAGGAGGCAAATTCAGCCCACGAGAAGGATACCCAGGTAACTAGTACGGAGTACATCCCTATTATTATTGGTATAGGAGGCAGAAGGCAAAACCTTATGGAAATGAGGCCATGCCACTAGCTAAATCACCATTAGATACCTACCTACCAGCTGCTGCTCCTTTTCTCTTCCTAACCCCGGTGTCCCACGATCTTCAGCTGCCCAAAAGCCAACAGTGAGCATCCATTATCCACTTGTGTTCACTGTTAATAATTTTCATATCATATTAATATCATCATCACTGCCCCTCCGTGTCCTAGATTAATGGTAGCCTGGAGATCACCTCCGGGAGCTGTTCTCTATATCTTCTACTACTTCCCCTTGAATCTGTCCACACTCCACATACACGGAGTATTAATATCCATCATTCTTCCCGTCCTGTATCCATTTCTGAATTATCGACAAAGCCCTTGTGCGCAACTCCGGGAGACTGTGTCCTTCATCTGAGTCATTCCCATCGTACAGACCCCCCCATGTCTGTCTGTGGCTTAGATTGGTAGCCTCGTGTCCGAAACATTGAAATCCTTTCACATTGCTACGGAGTATCACCAACAGACTTCCGACCGTTTTGATCGAACGAGAATCTAGTCCGCTTTGGTGGCTTTGGTGCCTCTAAGTTACCTAGTGGCCCATTAGTTTCTGTGCTAACCTTACCTCCTTAAGGTATGTGGAACTCTGGAAGCGCAACTGAAGAATGATCCCTGTCAAGCGCCCGAGCGAGTAATATGACTAAATGTGGATTAGCGCCTGAGGCAACGCGTTCCGTCACTCGTCGATCAAGCTTACATACAGAGGTACGTATCTCGACTATTATTTATCGCCGGTTTATTATTATTGTTTCCGCCAAAATCCGCCTGTTGGCTGGAACGAAATATCGCAAATAATCATAATAATAATAAAATCCAGCATAATAATATATTCCTTAGGAAATCATCTCTGCTGCTACTCTTCCTTCACTTTCGCGTTCGCCTCCCATCTGTGCACTCACACACATATGCTCTTGATGTTAGACTCGGTTGAATCAGTGCTCTGAAGAAAAATAAGGGAGATGCCGTGGACGGTAACAAATTCATTCAAGCGGTACGTTTTGCTTTTTTGTCTAGCTTCCCTCTCCTTACCCCTTCACTCACTTTGCTCGGTCATTATTGTCACCATTTACTCTTTGAATCTACTGCCGGTTCTAACTTGTCCAGCTCTAGAGGACTCATGAAAACTTACGGAAGATCTTTATGGCGCGTCTATGATGACGACGATACTGGCCCTGCCGCCAAGAAGCGACGCGTCGAGGCGGGCAACGAGTCCGACGACGCGGAAAACAGTCTTCAATATGCTATTCGCGAGTCATCTGCAGCCATTTTATCGAGTCCGTCGCGCCGCAATTCAGTAGTTCTTTCGGAGGGGACGCAGGACGATGACTTGTCCACGCCTCCGTCATCGCCACCTCCCAGATTGACCCCTCCCCCCGCAAACACGAGAAAACCAACATTTTCGTTTTTGAAGCGCAAGCAATCGTCGACGAAAGATGCGAGCAATGGCACCCCGCTCACGGAAGTCAACTCCAACAGTGTGCGGTCGTCGGTTGATCCCCCCAAGAAGAAGGCGGCGCAGTCGCAACCACCCGTGTTGAAACAGATGCAGATTGATCTGGGCCACGAAGTCAGAAAAACCTGTGCTACTTGTGGGATGGAATACGTGCCCTGCAATGCGGAGGACGCGGCGCTTCACAAAAAGTTTCACGACATGAACTCGACGGGGGTGGATTTGGGGAAGGCTTTTATGAGGGCGAACGCATGCCGCTGGGTTTACGAAGCCACTCGGTTCGACGAAGGTTACGTTGTTATTGTGGACCGCAAGGCTTCTCCGACCGTCAAGAACCAGGCCAAGAAAGTGCTGGAAGTGATCAGCAAGGAGTTATCTGCGCCTGAAATCTCAGATGATGTCTTATGGAGCCAAACGGAGCCGCCAGAACGTCTGCGGAAGAACGGTGCAGAGGAGAAAGTGGATCGCTACAAGGTGTTTCTGCACATGAAGGACAGCCGGTGTGTGGGAGCATGTCTCACTGAGCGTATTTGGGAATCACGGCCCGTGGAGTGCTCGACAGCGGCTCAGAATGGAGCAGATCAGCCGACCGACTCTGCGATTACCGTCCGGGACGAGGTTCACCCCGCTATCGTGGGTATCTCGCGCATTTGGACATCGGGCTCATCTCGAAGGAGAGGAATCGCCATGGACCTTCTTGATTGCGTTGTGACCAACTTTATCTATGGGATGGAGATTCCCAAGGAGCAGGTTGCTTTTAGTCAGCCGACAGAAAGTGGGAAACGTTTAGCACAGGCCTTCTTCGGGCCAGGAGTGCAGTGGCATGTCTACAACGAAAGCTAGAACTGATCACTAGCATGCTGGCACACGAGCGCAAGTGGATACTGATTTGCGTTTTTGAGTCTCTTCTTTCGAATGGGCCAGATGATACCCTTCTTCCTCGGGATGGATGAGCCCGAGTTACCCTTCGTGTCTGTTTGTATAACCTCAGGTGTTTGGGAAGGCGGCCTCTTCCTGTTCTCGATTGTTCAACATGCGCTACGTGCTTCTCTTTTTTTCTATATTCTTTCTGGGTACCCTTGAATATGCGGGTCAGGTATCATTTTCGCAATGTAACATATAGCCTTTTTCTTGGTCGCGTTTTCTTTAACTCTGGTGTTCTACTATATTTCGAGGCAACGGTTGGAGGACAACCGATTACAGACAGAATGCAAACAAGCATCATCAATATGACCATTCATTGAACGAGAAATAATTGATTATATCTACGCACCACACGTGCTTTGCTCATAATCACAAAAGTCCACAGTTTCCCAAGCCGGTTGGCCGTCGCGACCTGTGATGCTGTGCGCTTGCCGGAAGCCGCGCGGATGACCGGCCCTCCATAGCTTAAACGCCGTAGCTGTTGGCATCTCACCTTCCACCCTTTGTGGCTCCCTTCATCCATTCTCCCTGCCCTCATGGTCGGTGGGAGACATTTACTCTGCGATGTCTGGATTAAATCCTTTCCGCCCTAAAAAGCCAGAGCGTGAGGTTCATCCGCCCCTTCCGAATGCTGGGCATGACGGTGTCTGGCCCCCGAGAGGTGTGCCTCGTCTATTATTGCTCTTTGTGTATAAAGTCAACGCTGACGGACTTTTATTAGCAGTGCCTCCTAATCGATCACCATCCTCCGTTTCGACAAACTCATCCTACCCTGCTGCTCGGTTGACTGCCGGATCTCTGACGAATTCGTCCGCTACTCCTCATGGCCATTCCGTGACCCCTCCCGAATCCTCGACGTCAGATGCTGACGACTCTCAAACCTCGGACGATCAGTCACTGCCAGACCCATTCCGGAAAAGTTCGCACATGAGCGACAATGATGTGGATGAGGGGGAGGACCTCAATGATGATACCTGGAAGCCGCCCTATTTTCATCGCTCGACCCCCGCACCTGATCGCCATCACTCAGCTTTCAGCATCGCTCCCCATCCCACGCCGTTGCCCCCAGGAGCTGTAATATCGACTCCCACCGCCCCTCTGGCACCCTCAGGAGGACACAAGAGAACAGACAACAGCAATCGTTTGGGGGCGCTGGAACACCAGAAGAACCCGCGAGAGAATACGATGAATGCGACGCCGAGCGCGCCTGTACCTATATCAGCTCCCCGTGGGATGGCTCATACGGGCAGTGGTACTGCGTGCATCCCTGGACAACATACAGTTGCTCCATCGTCTGAGTTTGAGACTGGCTCGAAGCCTCTTGCGGTGCGTCCGGCAAACCGGGACAAGAAACCTCCACCACCACCTAAAAGTCATCATGGGAAGTTGATCAACCCCAGTCCTCATGCGACCTCCTCTCAGCCCCAGCCGGTACCCCCTCGGCCGACCAAGCGGTTCTCCTACCATGGCACATCCTCTGAGACATCCCTTTCTCTAACACCAGATACACCTCCCAGCAGGTCATCTCAGCCGAGGATTGATTATTTTACTCCACTACATGATAACCCAGCTCCTCAATCAGCAGAAACGCTCAGACGTAGCCAGTCACAGCACAAGCGGCCGCCGACGCCGCCGCTGAGTAGGCGACACAGTCAGATGAGAAGATCCAAAAGCACTATGTCCAGAACAAATCTGTCTCGGCTATCAATGCCAGCTGGAAAGATTGAGGTGAACGCATCTCCTCCTTCGAGCCCAGGTCCTCGAGCTCAGGAGCCCAGGACAGCTCCGCGGATTTCAGATGAGGCAGAACCTGATTCTGGTCAACGTGAGCCGCCATTGTCAAGGCGAGCGTCTCAGGTGAACCCGCTGCCACCACCTCCTCCACCGAGGAGGAACCGAGTTTCCAGCAGTCATAGCAACAGTAGGAGCCAGTCTGCACAGGAGAAGCAGGCAGAGGATGAGGACTTTATCCCTCGTCCGTCGAATGCCAATGACATCTTGGCCGATTTGTCGCGGCTACAGAAAGAAGTGGATGATCTCCGTGGCCACTATGAGAGCCGCAAGGTCAGTCACTAGTGGTTTCACATTTACGATAGACACAGGGTTTTATACATGCACCTGACACGAGGGTCTACTTGCTACACTTGAGCCCATAACGAAGTGAATGATACATTGACTACACTGTGCTTATGCGAGTGACCTCGATGGGGAGACTTGGTATATATGAGTTACGTCAGAGGTAGCCGAGCAACGAGTTATGACTACATAGCGATCATTCCAATACAAGGTGCGAAATACGTCCGTCTTGAACGATGAAACACACCAACCTACTATGTGATGGAAGGAATGTAGTGCATGAAGGCCTTCAATATCAGGCATCAGTACCTGCTACTGGATTTGCACCTGTGATTGGTTGGTGACTTAGATCATTATGATGACGTCAGCTCCCCCTCCTTTCGTCTTCTGCGACCCTCATCCATAAGACAGTAGAAAAAGACGAATATGAGACAATGAGAAGGATATCTAGTCGATTTAGAGAGGTAGAGAGGTTACTATGGAATCGTTGGGGTTCCACAAGAATGCAACAAACTCCACTGTAGCCACTGCTCCTCAATACAACTATTTTTGCTCCATCTAGAATCAGAGCAGCCCGCCTCACTTGACCATATTCTGCCTCACTTCACCTGACTGAGAGTTTCCATCTTCTGCCATAACCCACCTCATCATTCCAGAGCGCTTCCCGTGCATGAACGAAAATCCTTAAGTGATCTTCTCATTGACTGCATCTTGACTATCATATTTTATGCTATCAATCACCTCTGCCAGCATCTCAGTTTGACTCTTTTCTTCTGATTTCCGTCGTTTATCTATCTTATCTGCACGTCTGATTATCGACAAGGAGTCCAACAGTTAGCTGCGCGGCGAACGCATCTCGATTGTTCCAGGCCAGACAGACGTCATCCTCCATCGACTCTACTGTGCTCTGCTCTGCTCAATCTCATTCCTTCTAAAACCAACAATTCCCACACAATAGAAAGACTCTAACAGAATGACGACCCCGACCCTTATAGATCTACCACCCCCGCCCTCGGATCCCGTCACGCCGTCGGACATGGGACCGTAAGAGCATCCCCTTTCCTTTCCCCGTCTACTCCTTTTACGATCTCCCAGATAGTGCATCCCGTGAATAAGAAAAGCGCAATGAATTGACTAGTAATACTGTGCTACAGAGGCACACCAAATTCAGGCACAACCTCCCTCTCTGCACTGTCCACCACCGCTATCAAAGACGGCCATCAGGGCCAGCCTCTACCACACGGGCGACATGCTCACCACTCATCCTCTGCCTCGGCGACCTCTACATCTACCTTGGAGGCCGAGCGAGCCGATCGCATCTCCCGTCTCGCCGGGCTGGAACGTGTCGCAACCGCCCGAGCAGGAGGTGTTCCTCAGTCGAATCTCATGTTCGCGACAGCGCACGGCCCTGGCTACTTTGACAGCGGATCCGGTTTCAAAGAAAGAAGCACTGTGGGCAGTGCCAGCGCCACCGGCAGCGTGGGTGCTCGTACTACATGGGCAAGCGGTAGCGATGCGCTCGACGCGGACAAGATGAGCGAAGACACGAACGACGACGACGAAACCTCTAGCGTGGGAAATATCAGTGAAGGGGACGCGAGCCTGGTTGCATTTGGAGAGGGCGCCAGTACAATCAGTGGCCCGATTTCGCACCCCACTCTCAACCGAATGTCGTCGGGAGGTCGTCCAAGCTCGCTGGGAGCTGGAAGTCCTAGCATGAGCCGAGCGAATCCCCTCACATCGTACCAGCCTGGAGTTGAAGACTCTGCTGCCGTGTCCTCCTCGTTATCTCCTGCGGGATCGAATACGCCGGAACAGATGCATGACGCTCGCATGCTGGACGGGGTAACCTATGACAGTAATGTGGTCGACACGACTGTGAGAACCCCGCGGCTGGCGACGCCGCTCAGCCATGGCCAGTCTGCCAACCGGAACGATGACTCGGGAGACAATTGAGAGGAAAGCAGGATTCAAAAGGAGTGAAAGGGCGTTTACATGGGAGGTTTGTAACTTTTAGCTATGGATCATGGGAGGCATAGTGATGGGAATTTCAGGTTGTGACGGGCGGCCTCAAAGCAGATACCTGGAGAATGAGTATGACTTTTCTGTAGGATAATTGATAGCACGTTGAAATGCTTTTTTCCTTTTCAATCTAGCAGTTAGCAGTATTCAGTATTGGGATAGTTGTTTGTTGTATGGGGTGGGTCGAGAAGAGTCGATCAGTTTTATCCCGATGGCGACATTCACATGGCCACAATAACATCATAATGCCAGCAAGAATCCTCATGAACATCAGCCTCATGTTTGAAGACAGAATAATCCAGGAATAATTCATAGAGAAACTCATAGATTTCTGTAAAAGATGACTTAAACAATCATAAGAACAATAATCAAGCCAAGAACACTCTAGACGGGCAGTTTCGCCGCTGAAGGCCACCACCAAAATTTCTTACTCTTGGTCTGTCCGCGGTCTAAGAACTTCCTCTCTTCTTCTTCTCTTCTTCACCTTCAGTTCCACTCCTCCCACACCTCCTCTCTCCCAACCCTACAGTCTTCTCCAGTCCCGTTCATTGCTGGCATTGACTTGTCAAGCACTGAAGACCTGACAATTTGATTTATTTTCCTCATCCGCTGCCAAGCTCAGCTGCCATCCGCCTTTGTTTTCTTTGTGCGAGATTGCGCCCCAGTGTGTGTCTCTTTTGACTCTGCTCCGTTGCGTCAGACAAACAAGAGCTCGCCTCACGCAAATAGCATCAAGCACATCTAGACCGAGTCGTCCTCGAGTAACTCGATTTTTCCCCGGCTCTGCAACTTGTGGCGTCCCTGCTCTATTGCCGCCTTTGGTCTAGAAAACATACGTCCTGCGCCCATCTGCATCATATTCGTTACACGCAGCACGAGCTAGACCTACTTGAGTCCGTCAGATACTATACACTTCGTTGGAATTTTCGAGACACTGTTACGCGCGCATTAACGTTGCTGTTGTGCATATCGGAAACTTCAAGGCGGGATTTCAGAACCGAGTCGAGAGAATTATTACATCAACAATGGCAGCTCCTCAACAGCTTGCTTGTATGTCTCCCTCCTCGCATTCTTATAGACAAAACAACTTGTCACCTATATTAGGTGCATCCGGAATGTGTGAATAATGCTGACTTGCCGCAGTCCGAACGGTCAAAGGGATTGGCATCTTGGATGCGGCCCCAGTCTATGAGCCTTTGTCGGGGTTTGTAAGGTAGGAACTGCAATTTTCTGCATTTATGCAATGATCCAGGCTAATAGAACTTCTGTTGTGCAGACCTGAGGGGAACCTCCGCTGTAGCGCTTATTCTCCATGCGGCAGATATTTTGCCTGGGCTTCTCCCGAGAGGTATGCGATCATGGCGATTGCCAGAAGATCTTGCAAACGGACTCGCTAACCATCTACTTTAGGGTCACTATTGTCGATCCTTCTGTTGGACAGGTCGTCTCTACGATTTCTGCCGAAAATGTCTTTGAGCTAGGGTTCTCCCCCCTGGGAACCTACCTGATCACTTGGCAGCGACCCTCGAAGGACGCCAACGGAGACGCCGTCAAGAACCTCAAGGTCTGGAAGGTGATTGAGACATCGCCTGAGACCAACGGAGACGAGCATACGGTTGTGGGCAGCTTCGTTCAGAAGTCGCAGACAGGCTGGAACCTCCAGTACACGTTCGATGAGAGCCTGTGCGCTCGCGTCGTCACCAATGAAGTCCAGTTTTTCCAGAGCGACAACCTGTCAAAGGTCTGGAACAAGCTGCGTGTGGAGGGTGTGTCGGACTTTGCCCTCTCCCCCGGCAAGAACAACTCGATTGCTGTCTTTATTCCTGAGCGCAAGGTTCGTTTTTTGATCGTGGGTCTTTCGCAATGATTTACAGCCGACTTACTTGTTTTCTTCTTTTCGTCCAGGGTCAACCAGCAGCGGTCAAGGTGTTCAACGTGCCTCAGTTCGGAGCGCCCATCTCCCAGAAAAGTTTCTTCAAGGGTGACAAAGTCCAGCTCAAGTGGAACAGCAATGGAACGACTCTGCTGGTGCTTGCGCAGACCGAGGTCGATCGCAGCGGCAAGAGTTACTACGGAGAAACAACTCTGTACCTGCTTAGCGCCAATGGTGGCTTTGATTCGCGTGTGGACCTTGGTAAGTCCTTCCGGTGTGTCTTACCCCATCGTACATTTGCTGACTCTGCCGTATAGACAAGGAGGGTCCGATTCACGATGTGTCCTGGAATCCCAACTCCAAGGAATTTGGCGTTGTGTATGGATATATGCCAGCGAAAACCACCATCTTCAACTTCCGGGGTGTGGCCAAGCACAGTTTCCCTCTGGCACCTCGCAATACCATCCTGTTCTCTCCCCATGGACGTTTCGTATTGGTAGCTGGCTTCGGTAACTTGGCCGGACAGATGGACATTTACGACTTGGACAAGAACTACAACAAGGTGGCGACCGTTGAAGCGTCGAATGCCAGTGTCTGCGAATGGTCGCCGGATGGACAGTTTATTTTGACGGCTACCACCAGCCCGCGCCTTCGGGTGGATAACGGCATCCGGATCTGGCACGTCAGCGGTGGATTGATGTACAACGAGGATATGAATGAGCTGTACGAAGTCGTCTGGAGGCCCCAGTCGACCACCCAGCACCCGCTGGGCGACCCCTTCCAGACTCTCCCCACACCCCACCCGTCCGCCCTCGCCTACCTGAGCACCAAGAAAGCGCCCGCAAAGCCGGTCGGCGCCTACCGTCCCCCGGGCGCCCGTGGCCAGGTCACACCTCTCGCGTTCAAGCGCGAAGATGAGGGCGGCGCAGCCTACGTCCGGGATGGCGCTAGCGGTGGCAGCGCGCTGAACGGATTTGGCAAGCCCCGCAGACGCGAGGTGCCTGGCGCAGAGCCGGTCGAGGAATACCTGCCTCCTGGAGCCGCTCCCGGAGGAGGTGTCGCTCTGCCACCCGGAGCTGACCAGGAGAAGCTCTCCAGGTCGGCA